TCACACACACATGGTACATCATGTCACAAATAGATATGTGCATTTGTTTCATGATCTGCTTAACAATAGCGGAATGATGGCCATTTTAAGGCCGAAAATGCATCAAAATCACATATTTTCACAATTCCAGAACCGGATCTCAGTCATGCATGGATGGATTTTGTTCAGATTTAGCACAATGTGTTGTACATATGCAGGTGCATTTCGGTCATGATCTGCTTTGAATGTATATGTCACTCAAATATGAACGGAACGGGGACGTGTCATTGACAATGACTTGTTATTATTAGAGAACGCTTACATGTGTAATCATTCCATATTTGGAATTATCATTTCCTAATATGGTAGAATGAAAATACCCCGTAAAATACATTATGGTGACTGGCTGCCATTTTGTTTTAATTAATGCTGTTCCAGAGCAATATTTTCAATATGATCAGATACAAGATGTCAATCATTTAAATGTCATAATCAAGCATCAGCTTCTGGATCAATAATTTTGACATGTTTATGTCAAATTATATTACTATAAACAAAACTATATATCTTAAATTTGATAACTAACAGGGACTGTGCTGTGCCATGCATGGCTTGTTGCAGTCCTGCTCAGGAACCGCTAGTGTACAAAACGAATGCTCTGAATTTGCATAAACATTTGATTATGCAAATTTTGAAAAAGTCACTGACAGCACCAGGTGGAAGAGATTTTTAGTTCTCATTTGAACGTTGTCCTTTTTTATGTTAAAATTCATCAAGATCAAACATTTATGCCATTGTTGAAATTTCAAACTTGAATCCACGTCCTACACCATTTTTAACTGTGCTTGTACTTTCCTACACAGAAAGATGATGAATTTATCAAGACGACATGTTATCATTATTTTCACTCGCATTGTCTGGCAAATTATATTGAACATGCTTTACATGAAGAAGAACAGGTAAGCAGTGTTTTAGTCTCCTTCCCACACAAGCCAAAGAACCTGTTTTTCTGTATTTAAAATTCTTCAGTTATAATGGAATGTCAAGGTAACAGGCAAGAATTTAAAACAGGAAACTAGTGACAAATACAAATCTGTCATCATAACGTCATAAGTTACAGCGTGCCGTAATTTTGCGATATTTTACGTTGTATTTTCATTCTACCATATAAGGAAATGCGAATTCCAAATATGGAATGATAAAGCGCGTCAGCGTCCTCTAATAATAAAAACAAACATGGATGCCACCAGAGTTTGACCAGACTCCACACAAAGAAGTTTGGAAGAAAAAGATGTATAATAATAAGGTTATTACGAGCATACCTCAAAGTATGCACTCAGACAGTACGCTGTCGCATCGACCTCCACTGCACGTCGGTCGATACTCCCGCTGTACTGACTTCGTGCATACTTTGGGGTATCCTCATAATAACCTTATATTATGACATGCTGATGGTGCATATCATTCACAGTAATGTGTAGTGTGAAATACAGCTTACCATGTACTCACCTGGGACCTGTATACTATTTTATTCTCTCACCATGACTAAATCCAACATTACTACTTCGGCCATTTGTTGTTTAATATTGGCAAAAGATTAACATAAAATTCAATCATGTTTCATTTATTAGTAGTTTCCTTAAAACATTATATTTTTGACATTGTTCATAGTTTGAATATTGATTTATGTGACCGACTTACAAGTACATATGAATAAACTTATTTGCCTTCTGACTTCCGTTAGCTATGATCAGTCTCATAGAACAGACATTTTTGACAATAGAAAGAGGTGTTGAAATCAGACTGGTGTTGGTTAAAAAAACACTTCTGTTGATGCCTCCAAGAAGTTGAAGGCCAATTGTACCAATAGTCATGAAAATATTTTAACCATGTAGCTGCAATTAATCTCAACTCTGTAGCATTTTACAGTCTGGTTTTCCCATTAACTGTACCATAATATCGTCATTGATAGGTGGTATGTCTGGTGTGTAGAGAAGATATAGAATATGATTTAGATCTACTCAGACAAGCAGAGCTACCACGACATTTACTGGAACCTGATACTTATGTACCCAACAGTGAGATGAGAAAACAACAGGAGAAAATGGCTGCCTTGTTCCAGAAACAAAAAAACAAAGGTGCTATTATTGATATTGAAGCTGAAAAGAATAAATTTCTAATCGATATCTCAGCTGTAAGTCAATTTCCTAATCGGTCTGTTACCATCTGTAAGATAATGTATTGCTGTATTATAAAGTATTTGAAAGCTTGGATTACAGGAGCTGACAACCACGTTTTGTTAAATTATTTGCTCAAAGGGTTCTGCACATTGCATCCTGTATGCACAAGATATGGGTGCTATATTAACATAGGTGGTGACTTGATTATTTATTAACATTCGATATCTCAAAAATTGGATTTAAGTTAAAATTGTGGTAGAGGTGCTCTGGAATAAATTAGACTAAAATCACAGATGTAAACAAAAATACCAACCTATAAATCCAGCAAACAACTAAATGAGAAAAAATAATGAACATCGACATCAAAAAATAAATGTGTGTTTTTCATACATCAAACATTCTGAGTTTAAACTCATTTGATTAGCATATCAGTCATTAAATAACATACTAATTTGCACATTGCCAGTGAAACTACCATAGGATTGGCACATCACAACTATTGCAAACCAATAGGTGATTTTCCGTTCAACTACGAGATTTCGCGAGTTGCATGAAAGACGCGCAACAAACATCTGCTGCAAAAATCGAATGACTTGATTTGTAGCTCATATCGACTGGCCAATCTTCGACAAAGGAATATTGCTTTTGAATACCCTTACTTAATCGAAATTGCCTATCATCAAATGCGTACAGCACATTATTAAGCATGACATTATCCCCAAAATACTTTCACATTTGTCGAATCCCATGCGATGACGCCACTACGATGCTATAACCTTTGTTTGTCCTGTTTTTACGTTTGATTTCATGCATAACGCGCAATTCTCGCAGTAAACGGAAAATGGTCAATTTGTTGTCTAAATTCTTATATCATTCATTATTAAGTATTTTAAGTGCATATATAAAGGTATCCTTCGTAATATACTACACAAATACCAATTATGTTTTTTTTTTCTCATTTGCATATTAACATTAAGTACATTTTCATAGGTACAGCAGTGTAAACTGCACTACATGTGTAATACTGAAGATTACCTAATAATTTTTTCAGCAATTATTTTGTATCCATGCACACACACATGCACAGAGCTTGATCCAGTTATTAATCAATTCCAGTATTTGTTAAAGCCTTAATTGTTTCAGCAGATTTATATTATCGGTAATATGTTTAATTGTACTTTACAGACTCAAGTTGAGAGCCAACATGATGTGAGTGAACAACAGTTGACACCCTCTGACACAAAATTGGACAATCATGAAGATGCAGAGAAAGTAACTGTGCAAGAAAAAACAAAATTAGAAACAAAGAAAACAAAAATTGAGATAGTAAAAGATAAAAATTCAAGGAAACCAGATAGTGCTAGACCTAAGAGTTGGAGGCCTTATAGTGAGAGACCGCGGCAAGGAAGAGATCGCCCTCATAGGCCCAGAAGTGAGAAATACTATACTGATAGAGGGCAACATGGAGATAAATTTGTCAAAAAGTCTCAGAGAAATTCAGCAGAAAGCACTCGCAAGGAATCGGTGAACACAAGTGAACGTACAACTAGTGATAGAACTAAACAGGTCCCTGCTGCTAAATCAACTGACACTGAGAAAAAAGTTGCAAAAAATAATGATGATTGTGATAAAATCAATGATGAAATAGAGAAAAAGTGCAACATAAATGATAGTCATGTTAGTGATTCAAAAAGCAGACCGCAGCCTGGGAATTATAGATTTCCTTGGAAGACTGGTGGACGTGGAAGAGGCAGAGGTCATTATCACCACAGTTATGAGCATCACCATAGAGATAAGACCCATCACTATGGATACCAGCAGCATGATGGCCACCAATACCAGAGACAAAATAGAAGAGACAAAGATAGGACTAAAATGGAGGATGAGGAGAAATTTAGGGATGATAAAAATGACATCTCTAAATTTCCAGATAGACCTAAAAATCATAAGGAGAACGAAAAAGAAAGCAGACATTTTTCAAAAGAACAAAAAGATGAAAGAGACACGGTCAACAAGAGGAATACTGAAGATGCAGCTGCTATCAAAAAGACACTAAGATTTCACGATAGGAAAGTAGAATATGATAAAAAAAATGAAAGGACAGAACCACAGACAGATATTCAAATTAAGTTCCATCACTCATCAAGCAAAATTGATGAGACCAAAAAAGTAGTTAAACCTCCTCCAGGTTTTGAAGTTGATAAACGTAGACGAGAAAACAAGCCTGTTAAAGATTCGCCGGGTGTTGAAGACTTTAGATGACAGAGGCTGAAACATAGTCCAGATCTCATTTACAGGACGTTGCTCCCTATAACGGGGCAGATAGATACAGACGATTGTACAAAACTGATAATATATACCTGCTTCAGAATTCAAATTCAGAAATATTGCCAGTTATTTTTAATTACGGAATGGAGGCTTGTATTCAAATTGTGCACATTGTCATCGAAATGATCAGATTATCCTGTACTTTGTAGGAATTGACTCAATATGTAATGCATACGTGTACTTGTATGTAAGGTTACAATAACAGTAATTTAAATTTCAGTTTTCAGACTTGTTAATATTCAGGGAACGGATACAGTCACTTTGCAATGACATTATTGTCACATTGCGTCTTGAGATGCATTTGTACAAGTAACGATGGTTGGTGTGTGTGTGTGTGTGTGTGTGTGCTCTCCTCTGAATCAGCCACTGATTAATATTCCATATAAGCATGAATACATTATCTAGTTGATTTGAAATTGATTTCACCCGTACATGCATCAGATGAAATTTAACACACTGTGACCCAATTAATTTCTTTACGTACATGTGAATGCTGAGTTGTTGATTGAAATTTTTTTTTATGTATTTTATGAGGATTCTTTGCAGCATATGGAATGCATATTGAAAACATTAGAATGTTACAACTGGTATTATAAATTGTCATATGACTGACAATAACTTAACTACAGTCAAAACAAAATAGTGATTAAGAAATCTGATTTTGTTCTTGTTTCTCCAGGTTTATTTATGTGTATGTCTATGTATGACGTCACTGATAATGTGACCCTGGACCTCATTTTCAGAAGTTGGGGGCCATCTGCAGATGGTCTATAAATTATTTATCATTGTCACTTGACAGAAAGAATTGTCTTTTCAACACTTATGCCTGTTACTTTGACTCAGAACATTGTTTTTGCTCGGTTTTATTGAAAGAAGCTATATATACTATATAATTTCTATATTTAAGATATATTTGTTGCCAAGGTAATTTGAAGGCAATAACCCCTGTAGTGAAAAACTTGTGTTGTACTGTGTGAAGTATGCAATAAATTGCCACTTGAGAAATTGTAAATTTATATTTCTTGCTACACTATTACCTGTTCTCATGACACTGACAGTTTACAACTGAAATTACCTTACCACAGGCACAATACATTTTCTACTGCTATCATGACAACACATCATTCATAATAAAAATGGGTGATACTTTGGTGATAAATAGCTATATATTAGGTCGACTATTTTAAATTAGAGGGTATTGCTCAACATGCAGTAAACTGACAGAGTACAATGTAGACTTGGTGAAGTACACAAATACTACGTCATGTGCAGGCTGTTATTGGATTGATCAATGCCTGGACAACAGGGAGTAAACATTTACAAATATAAACATTTCTAACAAATTGTTGAGTTCTATACATGCATTGAAACTCCTATGCCCAAATCGAATTCAAGGGCAAAACCTAATTATTGTCAATACGAAGGTATTGCTACATTCTCCCCCCGAAGTTCACCAACCATTCATACATTTCATAGAGTTGATCTCAAATGCAATGATGGAATCTCAGAATGCAATCAATATTCAGATATAAGCAATGTGTTGACAAACGCTGTGTACTCTATTCCTGCGTCGCATGGGGGCGTTGTCAGAGCAGTTGTAACGATACAATCTATCAGTATTGACTGGCATCAGATTGTATAACAAAACGCTGAAGCCACTTTGGACCGAGTTAAGTTGGACTGAGATTATACCGTTGGTCGTATTGATGATTTTGGACAATTATGTGGTATACTATAAGGTTAAAATATTGGATTGAGGGAATTTTCAACGATGTTGCTCGAATTTCATTTGCTAAGGTTATTTGAATCGTGACTCTCCCCTATTTCTGAATCGTCAAATCTTTCCCACAATTTACCCATATGCATAACATCAAATATGCCGTATCATCTCAGAATGCATTAGAAGGTGAACCTATACAACCGATTGGTACTGGATTGTCGTACACGCCCAAATGGGATGTGAAAGATGTACCCTGTGTGTTATGATCAGAATTCTATGGCAATCTGGTACTGCAGCAAATGTATATTGAATATAAAACATTTTCAATGTAATCAAGATTCAAGTCGCATGTCGCATTGCCAGTACTACCACCCGATTTCCAGATTTTTAAAACGAGTGTTTATATTAATTCTTTACTCTACATTATAGAATGGCTGTTTAAATGTGCACTCATGTGGACTATAGACCTGACAGGCGTGGCACGAAATTTTGCGTGGTGGTGGTGGGGCCGGGCGGGCGGCCTGGGGTGTGGGGTTCTGCTCACTATCCTAGGGGGTTCCAGTGGCATGCGCCCCAGAACAAAATGAAATTTACACTTCTGAAACGCTATTTCCTAACATTGAAATAAGAGTTTCAGCATGATTGTTTGTGTGT